CTGTCTGCTGGGCAGGGAGCCCGGGGCCCCGCTGCAGCTCTCTGGTGGCCGTGAGGCTCCGGCCAGCCCCACGCCTGGGACTGAAGCTGAGATCTCCCATACAAATCACGCTTCGGCTTTTCGTGTTTAAAATGCCTCCTTTGCCAACTGTCATTCATGTTAAAATTCGACACTTACCAACAAGGACTTAACAAGTCTTTGAACTTTCTCACCCATTACCAAGACAGTTTCCTACATTCTGTGTCCGTGCCTGGGCGAGGGGAAGGTAGATTCCAGGTCAGTGTTTCTTACACATTTTAAGACCGAGGAACACCAAATAGTAATTTGATTTACGGGGAACACCAAGGACTTTAGAGGAGGGGAAAAAAGGAGGCTTGCCCCTTTTAAGGATGGCCATTTGAACTCAGTTCTCTCCCCCTATGGGGACCATATTTTCTGAACCAAAAAATATAGTAAAACCTGACCTCTGTTTACTATGCCTCTGACTCTCGAGGTCAAGATGGACACATGACCAGAAAATAACCCCCTCTAAGAATTTTTCCCACCATCTTCCTACCCTCAGGGGATGAGTTTGGCCCCCACCGAACCCTCTCTCCTCTGGTGCTGGTCTCTTTCCTGCAGGTGTCTGCCCTTCTGCTTCACTCCCAGAATCTCCTGCACTTTCCCTAATCCCTGCAGGTCCTGGTACTTCATCCTTCCCTCACTGTCCATGCCCCCCTTGTCCTCTCGTCTTGATGCCCATCCCCTCACCACCCTCTGTCCCAGTTCCTCTCATGCCCCTCTGTGCTCTCACACATGACTTGCTCCATTCCTGCCTTCCTCATGCCCACCCCTCGTTTCAACCCTTCTCCCAGCACATTCCCCCTCCCCTTGCCCCCAATGCCCTTCCCCTCTTCTCCCAGCATCATCCTGTCCCCTCTACCCTTCCACCACCCCTGCTAATTCCCCCCCTCCCTCTTCCTGCCTTTTTTCTCATAGACTCCACTTGCCCCCCTGGCATTTGTCTCTCCTCCACCCTGTCCCTTACTGTCTTCCTCTTTCTTCTCCTGCCCTACCCCCTTCCCCTCAGCACAAGCCCCTTCATCTCCCACCCTCCTTCCCCCAGTTCTCTCTGAGCCCCTCCCCCACCTTTTGCATCAAGTTTGTGGGGCTGGAGTCTATGATCAGGCCCCAGAAGTCCCTGCAGCCCTGGCCCCAGCTGCTGTCAAGGCAGGACTGTTTCCAGGCCTGAAGCTAGGCTGCCCACGGTGCTAATGTTAGTGCCGCATTCCAGTCCCCGCACCAGCTTTGACTCTCATTAGGGGATGGGGCGGGGGAGAAAACCCCCACCTTCCCAGATCTGGCATGCAGAGTGTGGCAGAGCAAGCGGGTTCATGCACTGCTGCTCCCCCAGTGGAATGGGAAGGAGCAGGGAGAAAGGGCAATGCACAGAGCACAGCAGCAGAGCCCTAACGTACCCCGCTCTGCAGTGCTCCAGCTGAGCACTGCGCAGGCTCACCAGCTCCAACCAGCACCCCTCCCCCTCCAGCAGCGGTGGTGGCCGTTTGTGGATGGAGGAGACCGGGCTAGCGGCTGCGCATGGCGGAGGCAGTCCTGCAGCAGGAGGGAAGGGCTATGCTGTGGGGGGAGGGGTTTGCTGGACAGCAGCGCATGGTGCATGGGAGCTCAGAGCTCTGGAAACTGCACACCACTGGCAGTGCCCTTGGCTACCTAGGGAAAAGCACCAAGGGAGCTGGTTACGTGCTGGGTGCAGGCAGGGAGTTGCTGCTGCGCCATGCTAGCGCTGGGTGTCTTTAAATCTGGGACTGTCCCAGAAAAAAGGGACGTATGGTCACCATATCTCCAAGGCACACCTCCAACTGCCTCGCAGCACACCGGTGTACCACGGAACACAGTTTGAGGGTACGTCTAGACTACATGCCTCTGTCGCCAGAGGCATGTAGATTAGGCTACCCAACATAGTAAAATGAAGCGGCTATTTAAATAATCGCCGCTTCATTTAAATTTACATGGCTGTCGACAAATACCTTTGATGTTGACACCCGCGCGTCCAGACTATTGCGCTGAGCCGACAAACAGCTGATCAGCTGTTTGTCGGCTCCGCGCGGCAGCCATGTAAATTTAAATGAAGTGGCGATTATTTAAATCGCCGCTTCATTTTACTATGTCGGGTAGCCTAATCTACATGCCTCTGGTGACAGAGGCATGTAGTCTAGACGTACCCTAAGAAACGCTGATCTAGTCCTAGTGCTTTTGGGTCTGCACTGATGTTGGTAATATTTCCTGCCCCTCCCCACCACAATATATTGTTAAAGCATTCTGAGTGAAATTGATGCCTGAAGAAATGAGTCTCAAAAGCACTTGCCTCCGAAGTAGAAAGTAGCTTCAGCTATTGTATGAATCCTAAGAACTTTCAGGGTTGCACTGCCACACAATTGATTTTAGAACAACAGAGACAAATTTTTGTTTATATCAAGGACCTCAGCTTGCTTGGTATCTTTGATGGGCAGGATATATGCCTGTCTAATGTATTTAGGCATGTATGCCCAGCCCCTGCCCGTGGTATCTTAGTGCCTAACTAGTGTATTTGCATACTTTTTGTGTAAAAAAACAAAAAAATACAAATAAATATGTAGTAATTTGTACTTTTATTTAATTATAACTGAATAAAATGTAGTGCTTTTTATTTTTCATTCACATTAATGATAATGTTGGAATTGTTATATTTTTTTTCCTAGATCAGATTATCACTTTATTTGCAACATTAATGATAATGTTGGAATTGTTATAGTTTTCTTCAAAGATCAGTTTATCACTTTATTTGCAGTTACTTAGACATGTCCAGAGAGAGTTTCTGACACTTTCAACTTTGCATGCAATACTTTCTGGGAATGGAGTAGAGTCCCCATACTTTTATCCAAATTTTCATTAAAAAGAAATGCAGCTGTAATGTACAGCAGTAATTTCTCCTCGGTGAATTATATGAAGAGAGAGGGAGAAATAGTCTTGGCCTAAAAAATAAGTGAAGGTGAAAGCCAAGTTTTTCATTATAGTTAATCTATGATTTCTACAAATAATAAATGCAAAAAAAATTAAATTAATATAAGTACGTTTAGCAATAGCTAAGCTTTCATTAGTCTTTGTTAAATATATGCAGAACATTACGCTAAATGTAAATGTAGAATATGAACTCTTTTTGTGCATATTCTTGACTTTCACATTATGATGAAACAAACAGGTTTCAAGGGTTTGTGGTAGTGTGCAAGGACCATAGCCCTAAAATCTTGTGCAACTGCAGGGAAATTGAGCTCCAGCCACACAGATTCTGGATTATCTGTAGCAGGAGTCTAGACCTACTTTGCCTCATCCAATAGTAGCATTACTCTGAAGGGAGTCATGTTGCCCCAGATACCTTCCTTGTGAATGTACATTAAAACTCTGAGGTGACTTAGTGCTCTTGTAGTCAAATTACATTAAAAAAATTAGCATCAGAGAGCTTGCTGCTCCCTGCCTTCCTCCCCTCAAAGCTTTCTGATCATATGATGTTAGCTAGCATCAGAGAGCTTGCTGCTCCCTGCGTTTGCCAGCCAAAGCCCTGCCTTCCTCCGCTCAAAGCTTTCTGATCATATGATATTAGCAGAGAGAGAGTCTTCTGCAAGCCTTTGGGGAGCAAACAAACATGATGTATGGCTGCTATTTTTCAGGCTTTTATGCCTTTTGCAGATGATCCAGATCATTGTGACACTGGTTATTTAAAAGAATGCAATTATGTAACAGTAAAAGGGATGTCTTTTAACCCAACACTTTGTTAAAAGCAGTCTCTCTACCTGAGGGTAAAATGTAAGATACTCTGTTCTGTGTTAAGCAGCTAAAAAAAGTGAACAAGAGCTAAAGGATGAAGAAATGGACTTGTTTACAAAATACTATATGGAATGGAAAGGAGGAAGAAAAAGTGTTAATACATCTTACATGAATATACCACGTTTTTATTACAGGGTAAGTGGTATATCTGGAGCGACTTACACCTGACTATACTACTCAAAGCAGAAAATCTTTACCTATTTAATACTAGCATTTTAGTAACAAAAGCTTCACTGTGTTAGAATTTAGGAGAGCTGTGGGTGAGTGTTTTCCCTCCTCTAGTTGTGGTTATCGTGAATCTCATACAGCTAACTCCGGTCATCTGAAGAAGTGGGCTGTGCCCACAAAAACTCATGATACCATCTACATGTTTTGTTAGTCTATAAAGTGCTACCAGACCATTTGCTTGCTGGCTTTTTTTTGCTGAGGAGGATGTGATTAAGCCATGAAATAGTTTGCTAATGCTGTAGCCAATTTGGTAATTGGGTTGGCCACTAAGCAGCATAAAATATCTGTTTTCTCTCTCTCTTCAGAACTTGAAAACCCACTTCCCATCTTTCCAACCTTTACATTCAATTCATGACCCTGGAATGCTAGTGTTTAGAAGTCCCTATCCTGTTTCCTGAGCATTTGCAGAAGGTGTCACACAGTTTGACAATAGTTATGCATTTGTCACAATAATCTATTGTGTGATTTTTTTTCTGCTTTTCCCAACCTTTCCAGAATGAATGAATGAATGAAAGCTAGATCTCTATGCAGTGTTATATAAAGCCCTATGATCTGGAAACCACCTTTTCTATTTTATTTTCTTCATTCTTACCTCTCATTAGCTATAAATAATATACTCATTTTGCCGAAAGGATGGGTCACTGGTCTTGTAGATTAAGGTTAGATTTGCTGTTTATATCACCCAATAGGAGTTGGGTTAAGTGCTTCACTTCTGTAAGAACAAAACCAATGGCTAGTCCTTGGCCATGATCTTTGATAAATGTCCTTCATATTAGTGCATAGAATGCTCATGTCAGCCTTACATGTTTTCTTGAAGCCTTTCATTATTTGAAAAGAAAATCAGACACTTGAAAGTGGGGAGTTATCAAAAAATAAGAATTGTTAACCCTACAATACAAATAGGATTTGCTATTTTAGACCTTTAATTAATCAGTAAAAACTATATTTGTCTACTTTTTCACATATGCATCCATTGTATAAAATGGTATCTTCCTAATTACAGGATTCTGGGGATTGAATGTACTACTAAAATATAGATTGCACTAGCATTCCATACAGTCTCAAGTTCTAGTAAAATCCATTGCACACATCTGAGTGTATTGTTTGGCAAAAGTATGTAATGAAGCAGTAATATGAAATTTACGTTTTGAAAATTCTTATAAATTCACAGGAACTGTATTAAGGATTTTAGATTGCATTGACCAGGATATTGTTTTGTGTCTGATGTTTGGCAAGAATTGCATCATGCAAAAGATATGAAATGGTATTTTTATGCATCAAAGTTGGGCTATAAATCAAGAAATAATAGGAGACAGTGACTTGAAACATTTTACAGTTGTTTGTCTTTCATGGGATCAGAAATTAATATAGTGGTTTTAGCTCCATAGCGAACATAATTCCAGTTTGTATTACGAAGTTTATAATGTCACTATATCAAAATATTTAGGTCATATATACTACACTATAAAAATGTACTCTTTCCTTCCATCCTATTTATTTGTTAGGTTTTATATTTTTACAGATTAGACCAGGAACTTCCAACATGCCATGTGCACAAGGTTTGTCAGGGTTAGCCACTGGCGGGCCACTGCTTCCTGCAGCTCCCATTGACTGGAAATGGTGAACCATGGCCACTAGGAGCTGCAAGTGGCCATGCCTGCAGATGCTCAAGTAACTAAAGCATCTGGTAGCCCTCAAGCAGCTTAACCTATCCAACCTTGGGCCAGAGTTTTCCCACTCTGGGTTAGACTGTAAATATATTTAGTAAAACAAAGACTTATATTCTGATGTGTTCATAGGGCACCTAGCAGAACAGGACCCCAGTCCTAACTAGGGATTGAGTACTGCAATACAAATAATAATATTATAATATTTTAGCTGCCAGCTGAGGATGAAGTCTTGCTTCAGAAGTTAAGAGAAGAATCTAGAGCAGTCTTTCTACAGAGAAAAAGTAGAGAGCTGTTAGATAACGAAGAGCTGCAGGTAAGAAAACACTAAGAAAGTTTTGTTGCTTAATCTAACCATGAGAAAAGTGAAGCTTTGGAACAACCTTTTAAGGGGAACAGTGGGGGCAAAAAAACTAACTGGTTTCAAGACTGAACTTGGTAAGTTAATGGCAGGGATGGGCTGATGAGACTGCCTGCAATTACATGTTGCAACTACAGGCAGTCCCCGGGTTACGTACAAGATAGGGACTGTAGGTTTGTTCTTAAGTTCAATCTGTATGTAAGTCGGAACTGGCATCTAGATTCAGCCGCTGCTGAAACTGATCAGTTTCAACACCGGCTGAATCTGGACGCCAGTTCCGACTTACATACAGATTCAACTTAAGAACCCCAGGCATCCCCAAGTCAGCTGCTGCTGAAACTGATCAGTGGCTGATTCCAGGAAGCCCGGGGCAGGGCAGCTGGGATGCTGCTGAGTTGCTCCAGTAGCGCCACTTTTCGGCGCTACTGGACCAACCCAGCAGC